TGGGTTCGATTTCAGTGGAGTCTTTCCAGAAAAACAAACAGAAGCATCTGGGGTAACCACACGTTGGGAAACATTTAGAAGTGCTAAGGGATGAAGTTAGACTGGTAAGTTTTCAAATCTGTTTCCAGCCAATTATACAAGGGTTTTCAGTAGGACAGGAAAAAACTGCCAAGAAAGAACAATAAAAAATACATCTATTTAAGAAAGATTAAGTCATTGTTAAATAAAGCAGGTTTGGTTTTCGTTTTTCTTCTGAAGCCAGGCAATAAACATTGTTCTGTATCAATGTTATTCTTTGGAATGAACTCATGACCCTGTCTTGAAATCTCTGATGCTAATTTTGCAGAGAAGCTTGCACAAGCACACTGCAGGAAACCTTTCAAGAATGTTTTAAGTGTGTATGCTTAAAGGATGGAATTTAGTAAAAAAGTCATCAATGCTCTGAAACTGAATATGTTTTGAAATTATGGAACTCTTTTTTCTGTCTTGTTGCTTGTATTGAAAAGTGATGGCTAGGTGCATGTACAAATCTGATCTCTCTGGGAGTGGTCTAGTGCATATTGCACAGGTCTGAAATCTTCCACACAGTTCTTTGCTGATATAGATACAATAAGGTGTCCCAATGTGATGCAGGGATTAAAGCAGATTTTGCTGAACTCCTTGGGATGCTCGTCACATCCTAGGCTGCCTACAAAGTGGGTTTATTTGCCTGTGTCTCAAAATCTCTCCCCATATTATTATTTTTAATATAGAAAAACAAGAAACTGTAAGGCAAGAGCTAGGCTATGATTTCAGATTCTAGAAGTACCAATAGCCACCTCCCTTAAAAGCATCAATATTTTTGGGTGTCCCAGAATAAACACCACAATAAAAGAGGTGCATATTCTTCAGACAGAGATGCAGAATTTCAATTAAAATTTTAGCAACATTTCTAGACATTAAAGGAGGGCACTCAAGATCAACTTTCATTTAGACCATTTCATCAAACCCATTTCAGCATTTCCCAGCCTGAATTCTGCCTAGAAGGAAGTACGAAATAATGAATGGCAATCAAAGTGAACTGAATGTTTTTCCAGTATTTAATCTTTTGAAAAATAGAAGAACGTAAACTGAGACTATAAGGCTACAGAGACAAGTAATAATTACAGGAAATGTAGTGGGTAGAAGGTAATTTATTTATTTTTTTGGAGGGAGGGTGTTTTGCTTTAGAAGAATGCAACTTTAGTTTTGCATATAAGATAGTCTCCAGCAATGCAAGGCATAGCACCCATTTTCTTTCTTTTCTCCTTCCTTTCTCCATGGATATTCACTGACTCCATGGTGACTCCTTAGTACAGGATATAGGCAAGCAAAATGTAATACAAAGCAAAATAATATATTTGGAAAATACTGTAATTTTTACACTGCATGTAGCTGGCCTGAATCTCACTAAGGCAAGAAGTTTGTAGGATTTAAAGCATGAATTTCAGATACATGTAGGTTGCATAAATGTCCCAAATGAGCATTCAAAAGACAGTTGGTAAAGCATTGTGCACCAGAGCACCCAAGCCATATAGCTGTTTATGCATGCAGCTTGGAAAGACAAATTTCTGTGGACAGGTTATTGCTTTAATCTCCCCTTCCTTTTAGTTTTCTGGTCCTCGCAGCTCTCAAGAAAAGAGATGGAATCAGATGAATAGGTCTAATCTTGCATATCAGTTACTGTGTTCCTTTATCTTTACAGTGGGCCTCTGAGAAATGTCATTATTAAATGCCAGGTAGATAAAAACTGTTGAATGGGAGGAGACCAGTCTGTCCACATTCCCCACTGCTTCACTCTTTCACTTCTGCAGGTCACTTCCACTTCATCCACTGGTAGGTCCTGGGTGCTGTCTCAGCTCTTCTGTGATTTTAACTTCTCGTTCTTCCTTTTTTTGTCGAGTTCCCCATCGCAAGTGTTCTGCTTGCTATTACTTGGCTGACAGTCAAAAATATTTATGGCAAGACTTGTGGATTTTGTGAACGTGCTGGCTCGCTTATCACAAATTGCTACAGATCTGGTCTCTTTCAGAGCGGTAGATACAGACAAGCCTGACCTCAGGAAATTTTGCCAAACATTGTGAACAAAGCAGTGCAGCCTTTCAACTAGAACTTTGTGTGCCAGCATTAAATGTTAGCCATGTTAAAGCATTTCACTGAAAAAATAAAACTTGATATAAATCATACCACGTATGCTAAGGCATTAACAGGGATATTTTCAGTTTTTAGAAACCGTTTGGCAGTTATCACAACTGTGGTGTGAAAGGGAGGGACCTCAAGTACAGGAATTATGATACCACGGCTTTTATTTACCCAAAATCAAATAACCAATATCAAAGCTGCAGTGAAACAAAACATGTGTTTACATAGGTGATTAAAGCTAGATGGCTTCTCTTGTGCTGGACAGTCTGCTATATATATATTTTTTTTTTTTGCAATTCTACTTGGAACATTAATGGCAGAATTAATTTTCTCATCGCAGGTACAGTGTTCAGTTGACAAGTCAAAGCTGTCTCTTCCTCTTGATAACTTGCTGTCCAAAGGCCATCAAACATTATTATGGGACCATTTCTGTTTAACATCTTTACTGATGATCTTGATAAGGATGTAGAGCGTATCATCAGTAGATTTGCAGATGACACCAACTTAGGTGGGAGGCCCTATCGAGAGACTTGGACAGATTGAATCAATGGGACAAAGTTAATGGGATGAGCTTCAATAAGGCCAAGTGCCAGGTCCTGCACTTGGACCACAACAACACAACGCTACAGGCTTGGGGAAGTGGGGCCAGAAAGCTGTCTGGCAGAAAAAGAACCTGGGAATTGTAATCAACAAGCAGCTGAATATGAGCCAGCAGTTTGCCCAGGTGGCCAAGAAGGATAAAGGCATCCTGGCTTGTGTTAGAAATAGTGTGACCAGCAGGAGTAGGGAGGTGACTGTCCTCCTGTACTTGGCACTGGTGAGGCCACACCTTGAGTATTGTTTCCAGTTTGGGGCACCTCAGTACAAAAGAGATATCGAGGTGCTGGAATGAGTGCAGATGCTGGTGAAGGGCCTGGAGAGTAAATCTTAAGAAGAACAACTGAAAGAGCTGAGCATGTTTAGTTTGAAGAAGAGGAGGCTGAGGGGAGGCCTCATCGCTCTCTACAACTACCTGAAAGGACATTGTAGAGAGGTTGGAGCTGGTCTCTTCTCACAGGTAATTAGCAATAGAACAAGAGGGAATGGCTTCAAACTGCAACAGGGGAAGGTTTGAATGGTTTAGACTGGACATTAGGAAAAAAATTTACACAGAAAGTGGTCAGACATTGCAACAGGCTGCCCAGGGAGGTGGTAGAGTCACCATCCCTGGATAGGTTGAAAGGTTTTTTAGATGTGGTGCTGGGGGATGTGGTTTAGGGGTGAACTTTGTAGGGCAGGGTTAATGGTTGGACTGGATGATCCCAAGGGTCTTTTCCAACCTGAAAGATTGGAATATAATTCTGTGATTTCTATATACTAGGTCTAAATATTTTTCTGCACGTATGTTATGGCTGACAACCTCAAAATTCAAAAGCAATGGATATAATATGTGTTTTCTGCTAGATTAAGGCATGATTTTTTCATAAGTAAGAGCTACTTTATTGAAATCCCAAGTATTTCCAGGCAGTATCTGTGGAAAGTGGTGGTTTATTTATTTATGCAGATCATGCCTAACTCTAGGGAGACTTTTTTTAATGTATCCATGCCAGCAGCCTCTCTTCACCCACCAGAATTCCAGCTGTCTATTAAACATCTGGTATAATAATTTGAAAAGGTTATTTTACCAAATAAACTCTCATTAATTGTTTCTAAATGCTTAAACTGACTATACATAAATCATAACTAAACTTCTGATGTGGTACTGGAAGTAGTTTTCTTCTGAGGTGACTCTGCTACTTTCCCACTGCTGGAATACTATTAAGCAAATAGTCTTAGTTTGTCGGTGGACTGGATCAAAAAGGTGGTCCTGAGATGGAGATAAAAAGGTGGGCACTGGAAGTGAAGAAAGGGAGTTCCAGGTCTCCAGTGTCACTCATCTTGCAGCCTCCACTGCTGGGTTTTCCTAGGGAGCAAACTGGTTTCCACCAAAGAGACTGCTCAGGAAATAAGCATAGAAAAAGTCCCACACTCACAGGCTTTTGTCCAAATGTCATGGACAGTCCTTTCAAGTTGTTAGGCCAGCTGGATGGAGAAACTAGGATTGGTGACCAGTGCTGGTAGGGAGCGCAGAGGTATATCAGATGAGTTGTGAGTATTGGCCAGACAAAACAACCTAAAGCCAAGGAGGAGACATCTGAAATAAAGGCCTTGGGAGAAGAAAGGGAGAAGAAAGAAAGAAAGATAAACCACTACCACTCAAATTTTAAATAATGAAGCTGTAATATTTGAAGTCAACATTTACATTGAAGTCAGAACCTTTTGGAAGAGGTATGAGTATATTTAATTGAAAGAAAGACCAAAGTGTCCCTGTAGGTATTGTGAAAAGTGGAGGAACTACATTAATCAAATAATTTTTTATGCTGCAAAGTCCCACAGATCTAAAGTTAAGCCAAATATTTTAAGAGCTAATTTTCATATGGAATGAAATTAATTCTTGCACAGAGCATCAAACCTGTTGATTACTTAGACCCAGTGAAATCCAGGTTGAGATGTATTTAATTTGCATAGCATAAAGTATACAAAATTACATTATCAACAACTTTTTTTTTTCCCCCAAATATAACTGTTAAAAATGTAAACTCTGAAAAAAATCTTCCCTATTCTGGACATACAGACCAGTGTATCTTTCGCACAAATAGCAGTTCATAGAACTAAACTGAAGAAACAAATTCAAGCTAAAAGTGTTATCTAAGGATTAGAAAAGGTTACCTGATGCAGAATATGCCTTTCAGGAATGATTTTTCCTTGTAAATAAAACCTTCAGAATTTAAAACACAGCCATTCTCACTTTTGTGGGTCATCTATATTAAGATTCTCAAAAATAGAATTAAACCAAACAGATTAAACATCCTTATCTTATAGGATGAAGAACTACTGGAAGTACGAGTATAATTTGCTTGTACATCATACCTAGTGGCATCTGCGACAGTGTCATATTCTGCAGTTGTTCTATTGAATATATTATTTCCAAAGGTAGACTGGAAATCTTCTGTTTCAGGATATGTGGATAATGTCACCGTACTCTGAGAGGTAAATGAAAATACAGTTCTGTTAGGCAGAGGCTGTTCTTCAGAGGCTTCTATATTAGAAAGTGAATTTGAGGATATCTGAATGCAAATATCATCTGAAATGCAAGCATGGAGGTAATGGATGTCATTTATATCAGCTCTAGGTTCACAACTGTGCCCTGCATAACAGTGGCAGTCAAATTTCTCTATAAGTGTTTGGAGATCCTGAAATGCTGGTTGCCCTTGTAGAGTGTATTTTCCGTCCTTTGTCATTTGAATGACAATATTCTCAGGGTTCAAGTGAAGATAGTCACTGGAATTCCATTTCTTCCGCACGCAAGCACCAGAGTCTTGGCATAAGACTTGGCTACAGATTCTGGCTGCCATGGTGACATTGATGAGGTATGGGGTTAAAGTCCTCCTGAGGTAGTTGTCCAGAGTTCTACAGGTGTTCTGCAAAAAGAAATTGTATCTGCATAGTTCAGTAGAGAGATGTTATAAAAATCATTTCTAGCAAAAAGCAGATGGCTTTAAGTTTTCATTTTATCTGTGTATTTTATGTAGCATTTTAAATCAGTTGCATTTAAAGAAGATACGTGAAGTTCCTTTTTATGTCTTGAATGGCTTGAAGGGATCTTGAAAAAAACCCCTCACTTCTTCAGCCTGAACAAATAATTTTTTCTGTCAAATCACCTGTGAGACTCTTCATTTCTCCCCTGACCTGAATAGCTAGGGGTGCAGGAGTACAGAGCCTTCATGGCATTTTTGAATGAAAGGCATTTGGGGAGGATGGCCAATGGAAAGTATGATAAGAGAATCGAATTTAATTGATCATGAAGATGTCTTATATTTTGTGTTTGCTTGGTGCAGTTTAATAACCAGAGGCTTTGGGAGCTCTTCCTTTGTTTCTGATGCCATATCTCGTTAGGGCATTCACCTAATACCACATACAGATACAGCTAATATTTACACCCATGGAGATTACTTTGGTGAGTCTGAGATATATATATAGGTTTTTCATTTTTCTTTTAGGTGTATATAAAAATCCTGCCTAGAAATTTTGGTTGATGCAGTTCTTGCAGAAGTGAGGCCAACAGTAGTATTTCATTGCTGCAAGGCTACTGACTGTGATAGCTGTTAAAAAAAAAAATGCAGGCAGGTGGAAAACATCTAAGTGGGATGCTTTGCGAAATTTGACCCTTACAGAGCTGTGGAGGTTTATTTGGCCAGGCTTTCTGTGGCAGGAGACCCCACAGTGCTGAAGAGTTTCAGTTCTTTGCTCTTAAAAAAGTTCAGAAGAGTTTTTCCATAGAGTAGTTACATCTAGCTTGCCTGGGTATGAGTGAGCAAGTTTGAAAGATTTATTTGAGCATCTTTGTAACAAAGTTTCTCAAACTATGTATTTGACCTTCCTAAAACAAATTCAATTTTTTTCCTCTTCTCACTCAGATCTTTCTTACAATGAAATTAATCAAAATACTACTTACAACACACAGAACAGACTGGAGCTGAAATTTCACAGACTGACTCCTCCTAGTGTTTTAAATATTATTGCTAAGTGCACCAGTTTAAAATGCAGGAGAGTCTTTTCAGTATGGTTCTGGGCAAGCACAAGTAATTTTTTCTGTGCTTCATGAGTAGAGTGTAATAAAGGTATAGGAATTCTTTCCTTAAATTAACTAAACGAATGCTAACTTACCTGCAGTTATCATGGCAGCCTGTCCAATTACTTGGAGCGAACACTGGTACTTTGAAAGACTGAGTTCTTATTCTGTGTAGTCAATGACAGTCTTCATAAGCCTCAAACTTGTTTGTCTGTTGCTGACTAGAGAAGACTGCTAGCAATATGGAGTCATCATTTTTAAAGTAGAAGATGAGTAAACTTAATGCCTTGTATGCTTTTCACTATATTGCTCTTTAAAAACGTCATGTAATAATTGATCTGGCGTACCTTATTTTGTGTTAAATTCATATCACCCCAGATCACAATTCCAGAAGCACCCAGTGCAGCAGATTCTCCAATGGTATGTACCAGGTCATCCTGAGGGGATATGTGCAAAGAATTATACTAGTCAAAGTAAGCTATAACATAAGGGCAAAACGTATAATGCATATAGTAAATTACATATCCAAAATAACTACTTTGAAGACAGTAAGCAATTATGTACAATACAAACATTCTGCCCTCAATTACACAATTTTGTTCTGGGATTGCATTGCACAGGCAAAGCAAGAAAATGTTGCCAATTGTTTCCAATTTATATATGTCATCTGGTTAGAAAAACGAGGCTGTAAAATTGAGCCAATGGTTAGACATAGGAGATACGTGCCTCCAACCATTTTAAGTTGTATTTTGCTGCATCGCCTCCTGGCTGCTCAGAGTTGGTACTCGCTGGTTTCAGTAATGCTGCCTGAAACAGAGCCTGGAAAACACAGCTTTTTGGTTTATTTTTTTAAAAAAAAATTAATTTCAGTTACTAGAAAGTACTAAAATTGTTAAGCAGAAAAGTAGCAACGGGAATCTAATTTCTCAAGAGAATGGCTCTGGCCTTTTACTGAGATTGATTTTGAAAATTTGTTTCTCTTCAGTTCTCCTTTTAAGGTCAGCGATTAGCCCAGCCCTAACAAAATCTTAAAGTCTGTCTGGGATGAGAAAGGACTACGGGTAGAAAAAGAACACCGAAAAGACAACTTACCACAGGGCACACACATGAAAAGGAAGAATTACAGGATTTAAATAATTAACTAGGAAGCCAGCAGGGACCCTGACAGCATCCTTTGCTCCCTGAAGGTATCCATGGGGACAATGCTTGGTGGTTCTCTATCCAGAATGTGAGAAGACACCAGACACAGTGCAGTCACCAGGACCACAACCTCTAACTTCCCCTTCCTCATGGCCCAGAATGACCTCAAAGAGATTTCCTAGATTGGTGGTGTCTGTGATAGGGTGCATGTATATAAAAATACAGGGGAAGGTGTGTAGCCAGAACTGCAGTAAGATGATTAGACCTTAATCAGAGCCTAACCTTGACTACACCATGAGATGCTGAAATACCATTTAGAACACTGCTCAGGAACAACTAAGGACAGAACTTTCTCACTAGCTTTTAAATCATTTTTTAAGGAGAAGAAAGACTGACTCTTATTGGTTTTTCTTATAATCTAAAAAGCAGACGTTAGGCCAGCCCTGTTTTAATAATACTCTTTGGAAGAGGTTACTCATATTTCTTTCCTCTGATAATGTACTAAATATGCTTTCTAGTTTTGATTTTTTTGCTACATGTGTGGACTACTCAGAGAATAAAACACTTTCATGAATATCACGAGTAAGGTTTGAAAACAGAGCTCTTATTGTTCCTCTTGATCGGATTTTTGTAATGGATGAATTTAATTTTTTATACAAAATCTACCCTTTTTTTTTAATACAAGTTAGCATATTTGCTAAGTAAATGTCACCTGGTATTTCTTCCCACTAAAATTTGAAATATTTAAGGTCTAGCTCCACTCACCTGGGAGAGATATTCCTCATAGACATCGGTGAATACTGGACGTGTATATACAAAAACTGGAAGAGGATGAGTAGAATTAGAGACATATGAAATTCTAATGGCTTCTTGAACTCTGTTTCGAACAAAGAGCTGGGCATTTCTGGAAGATCTTAAGGCTGTCTCTAGATAGACAGATGGATAAAGTGCTGTGCTTTTCTCCCACAACCAGTTAAGCTCATTATTTCTTTCTATTTCAATATCTAAGCAGGTTCCTGTGTAATTATGTGGGTTTTGTTTGTAATCATAGTTATAACAGTCTGGGTAAAGGTAATAGCCCCACAGACGATTTGGCTTCATTTCTATGCCCAGCTTTAAAGATTCCAACATAATTGATTTTGCTGCAGCTTCAAATTCCATTTTAGCTATAGTTCTGGCTTCGGCTTCTGATAGACTGATGTCTCTCTGCTGAAACAGTTCAATGGATTCCTGTCTATAAATGTCCTTTGATCCCCAGTTCCTTATCCACACAGGTCTCCAGTTTTCCCAGTCAATGACAGCCAATCCAAACTGTTCATCTGAAGGAATATAGAACTGGATGTCCTCCTTGGCTTTATTTAAGTGATTTTCCAGCAGTGATAGTTGAGGGAGTCCTCCATTGAATGCCTCTCCTGTGACTTCATTTTTGTAAGGATAGTAGCCAAGCCTATCTGGGTAGAAAAGAGTGATGTTTTGCCCAATAGATGTCTTCAGTGTGCTTCCTATGAGTGAAAAAAATTTCATGTCCAGCTGCACTCCAGTCCTTTCAGTACAAAGTTCTGTGGGAGCATTCCAGACAGAAAGGAAAGGTGAGTTAGAAATAAGTGGACGAGCTCTTATGTTCAAAGATGAGCAGCAAGAAACTAGAAGAGTAGCAAAGACCATACCAGATGCTGTAGGATTTGTATAGGTAACAGAGATACCAGAACTTGGTATTTGCCTTAGAGTTTCCATCGTAACATAGGCAGTGACATTAGGTTCTTCTGACAGACAAACATTAAATGCTCCCTGGGTGTTCAGAAGTTTGGTAGTTTGTCAAAAGCTTGGTACCATACCATATATTTCTTCAGATTAATTCCTATTAAGCAATATTCCTTAGGTGTAAAATAGGGGTGTCCTTTATACAAGGCTCTCTGTCATTTCAGGCTGCAGGAAAGATTGCAACATTTTATGAGACCTAATACAGAAAAAGAAACAAATGCAGATAGAGTTAGAAATTATAAATATTTATTTTCTAACTATGAAACAAATACCATTTATGATTTTGAAAATACTGGAATTTAATAAAATTTCCCTTTGAAGGAGAAGCACAGTGTATAATCATAGACAAAATCAACTATATATGTAGTTGTAGATATATAAAAAGTAGATATAAAACTGCCAGTGAAATGGTATCCAGTAAGTCATGGATCAGAATAAGTATGCTCCATAGCAGTCCTGACTGTGCCAGTGACAGATGTATGCACACATAAGCAATCTCATAATGTCTTCTCTTAATCAACAGTAATGTAATCATGTAATAATTGTCACCCATCTCAAAGTAAATTTCTAAGTCTTATTTCCTAAATTTTACAGAGCACTTAAGGGAAGATACAAGATAACACAAACTAGAACCTGCACTGTTGCAAATGCACAAGAAAACAATCCATGTACACTCATTTAACTCAGTGAGGTATCTGAAATATTATAGGCACTCTATCGTCTGTCCAGAGCTCAAAATGCTCAAAAGCTGCATGTCATATCGACATATGGCCATCTGTGTGTTGCTTGAGGTTTTTTGAGATCTACAGATTAAGTGATCCCAAGTCTTCCCAGGGATATAATTCATTAGGAAAGTTGAGGTTGTCCATACACTCACAGTGAGCAGTCACACTTCTATTCAAGAACATAACAGTAGTGACGATAGTCATGGTCACCAAGTTTGACGTAGTAGCCCAGTAGTTAAAGCGTTCTTCTGTGCAGGAATTCACCTGAATCCACTTTCCTCCTCATTTTGAAATGGTTCAAACCTGGATCTGTCACTTTCCATAGAGGCCTCATGATAAGGCCATAGAGTATCTAAGGAGTATTTAAGGGTGTGCATTAAAATTATAGGAGTCCATGAAGTGGACCACAGGGTGGCTAGCAATGTAAAGTCTCTGAGGACAGATTGAAAAAAAAAAAGCAAACAAGATTTTGGTTTGCATTTACTGAATTCAGCTAAGAGTAGAAACCTCAAATCTCTGATCCCTGCACCTTGAATTATCTCTCTCTCTGTGTTTGTCATTCTGTGATTGCTTAGTGTAAAATTTATAAGCTGTATGACCAGAGAACCATAGTTCTCTCTTCACCTGACAGTGGATACAAATAACAGGTTGTAGTTATTACCTATTTGCTTTTTTTTTCACTGGCTGCATAATTATATTTTTTTATTTGCCTCAATAAAATGTCAAAACACCTCTATCCATAAAATTGTTGCATGCCCAGAAATGTTTGATAGTGTAATGAGAGGTTGATGAAGACCTGATTCTTCCAAAAATCTAGCCTCAAGCCAAATTCAAAGTGGAGACTGTTGTAGTGGTAGTAGAGTGAGATTCCATATGTTTGTTCACTAAGATTGATCACATCTGAATCTACTAAAACCTCCAGATTTGCCTTAATGTGGGAGAAAACCATATGTGAAAGGAACTACCATGGGACAAGGAGAGGAGGTGGAGCAATGTGACTGAAATCTAGACCTTTGGGAGATCAAAGCAGTGAAGGAACCTATGTGATCAAATGGTCTAGATCCTGCCCCTAGTCATGGACATCACACTCTCTAGAAATGATTCTGGGTTTATTTTTCATTTGAGGGTAATTTCCTTTTTCTGAGGATCAGGAGGAAATGAAGGACATATGTAAAAATTGCACTGAAGAAGGAATCTCTAGGAGTAGTTTCGCAGAGGAGAGGCTTTGCATTACAGGGATCTTCAAGAAACACCATAACTCAGACACTTAAGTTCCCAGATTAGCAAGTCTATTTTGCAGACCCCACTTTACTTCTTCCTGATCCATGATTTCTGATGCCAACAGGCAGTAGGGGTATTTTCCCCTCATTCTTCTTCTTCCTAGGCATGTTGCCAGATCTTGGTCTTAGTGTCAGTGAGGGAGCATAAGCTGCTTAGCCATTCCTTTTGCTGGGTCCCCAACCTAGCTGAGGATGGAATAACAGCCAATTAAATTTTCTTGGCTTAGAGGTGCCAGTATGTGTGAATAGAACCAGCTACTCAAAGACATGAGTGCATACAGCTGAAAAGACTGGCAAACAAGCACCAGTAACAAGGATTCTTTCTGGCAGCAGAGGAAGAAATTTTTTGCAGAGCAGAAGCTACAAGTCTTGGCAGAAGCCGGATCCTGTGCTGGCTTCCTATCAGGTTATGGCCTCCTTCAGGCATCCACTTGCTCCAGCATAAGGTCCTCCACAGGCTACGGGTGGACATCTACACCTCTCTCACCACCCCCAAAGGCAGGAGGACAGCCTGCCTCACCAGTCTTTACCATGACTCATGTGCCTGGAGCACATCCTCCCTCTGCTTCTTCACTGACCTTGGTGTATGCACATATTCACGCTCCTCTCTCTCTGCAAGTTGTGGCACAGTAGTTTTTTGCCTGCTTCTTAAATATGTTTCACAGAGGTTTTCCCACCATCACCAATAGACTCGGCCTTGACCACCAGCAGGTCCAAATTTGGCTCTATTGGTCCTAAGGGAAGCTTCAAGCAGCTTCTCGCAGAAGCTGCCCCTACAGCCCTCCTGCTACTGAAATCGGACCACACAAACCCTTGTCTGTAGACAAGGGTCGTGCTTGTCTGTAGACAAGCAAGGAAGGGAAGTTAAATGCAGCATGGGTGATGAGGTGCAACGTACAGCAGAGCTAGAACTGCAACAGCTTCTTCCCACCAGCCATAACAGCACGTCTGTCTTCTCTGTTGCACTGTCCCCAAGTCTCTAGAGCCCAATTTCTGACCATAAGTCAAAGAGCTTAAAGCACATTCTATGTTCTATTCCAGGACTGTTATCAGCACCTCTCTTTCACTGACTGGCACAAACTTTCAGCTAGTGTTTTGGCCCTGTCATCTTCTTTCACTCCACATTAGGGTTAGGGTTTTGTGCCACACTGAGCATCCACAGTGCTATGTACATATCTGCAAAGAATTCCCCATGTCCTGAGCTCTACTTAAATGTAGTTCTGCGCTTTTTTGTTTACTTTAGCTTTTTTTTTTTTTCCTCCTTTATAGGAAAGCTTTTAATTCTCTCTTCAATGGACAAGTTTTCATCAACATTTTGGAAAAAAGGGAAACCAATGGTTTGAAAGCTAAACTACCAGTCAAAGGCCAAGACTTGTAAAGGAAAAGTGGAACCACAGATATCCAAGACCCTAGGATCAAGAAGTATGTATGTTGCCTGCTTGTTGCTTTCACAGTAATTAAAAAAAAAAAAGTTGAATCCTCTTTTATGATCAAGCTATTTGGTTTTCTTGTGATGATGAACAAGCCGCAGTAGACAGGAGTTCTCACAGTTCTGTCTTGCATTCCCTCATGTAATCTTCAGTTGTCCATTTCACTTATATCTTACAAAAGCCTTATCAATCATGAGAGGCAAATTCTTGGTGTAGAAGCAGCAGATGGACTGAAGTCTAAATATCAAGAGAGATATTTGATCATTCTGCAGCTGTTGCTGTGATATGAAAAGAAACCCTTCCCAGAAGCAGTTTCATAAGCTTGACTTAGATCATAGATCTTATCACCAGGAAGAAAGGTATGGCTCTATTTAAGGTGTTCCAATAGCAATATCTCATTTGCATGACATCTGCTTGATGAGGTTCATAGAAAACAGGACTTTGTGCACTTCCTCCAACTGCCCAAAAATGACATCGGGGGAAAAAGCTATCATTCCTCTGAACTAAACATTTTCAGCTCTCTCAGCCTCTCCTCATATGACAAATCCTATAATCCCGTATTCGTCTTTTAGCAGTTTGCTGGACTTGCTCCAGTATGCCCATTCCTTTCATGTACTGGGGAACCCAGGGGAGGACACAGCACTCCAAGTGTGGCATTACCAGTGCTAAATAGAGGGAAATAAACATATTCCTTGACCTACTGGTGACAGATACTCTTGTTAATGCCAACCAGGGGGCTGTTAGTCTTCATTGCTGCAAAGACACGTTGCTCACCCTAGCCAACTTGGTGTCCACCACAGCCTCTTAGAGCCTTTTCTGCAACTGTTTTCCAGACAGTCAGCTCACAAACATGTAATGGTGAAGGGGGTTATTCCAGTTCGGGTGTGAGACTTTGCATTTGCTTTTCTTGAGCTTCATGAAGTTCCTGTCAGCCTATTTCTCCAGCCTGTGAAGGTCCCTCTAAATGGCAGCATGATCCTCTTGTGTATCAGCTGCTCCTCCCAAGTTTGCATTTTTTTTTTTTTTCAAACTTGCCAAGGGAGCACTCTGTCCCATTGTTCAGATAATTAATGAAAATATTAAATAGTATTGGATGCAGTATGAACCCTTAGTGTGCATCACTAGCAACAGGCTTCCAGCTGGACCTTAATGGGCCTCTAGTTGGACTTTTGGGCACTGATCACATCCTGGCAGTTTAGCTAGTTTTCAGTTCCACCGTCCTTTTATCTAGGTTGTACTTAATCAGTGAAAATGTTACGGGAGACAGTATTGAAAGCCTTCCTAAAAATCAAGATCAACAATATCTGCTGCTCTCCCTTTGTCCACGAAGCCAGTCATCTCTTCATAGAAGGCTGTTAGGTTGGGCAGGCATGATTTCTCTTTGTTAATCCATGCCAACTACTTCCAATCACGTTCTAGTCCTTCATGTTTGAAAATGTTTTCTGGAATTACTTGCTTTGCCAGGTTCCCAGGGATTGCAGTGAAGCTGGCCTCACCAGCCTGTAGTTCCCCGGACCTCCTTTTTTTACTTTAAGATA